TGACGCTTTTATCCAAAGTGACTTACAATAAGTGCAATCGACCAAGAAGATACAAACTTGAAGAAAACAGAATCATATCAGGTTTCATAGAGCCAAAACATTAGAGCTAGCTTTAGATAAGCCAGTCCTTTATTAGTAGCCTATAAAAGTGCTTTGTTATTGTATTGCTCGAAGTGGAGTCGAAAAAGATTAGTTTTTTGTCTGCGCCAGAAGATGTGTAAGCTTTCTGCTGTCCTGATGTCAATAGGGAGCTCATTCCACCATTTTGGAGCCAGGATAGCAAACCGACATGTTTTTGCTGATGGGAACTTGGGTCCCCCTCGCAGCGAGGGTGCAGCGAGCCGTTTGGCTGATGCAGAGCAGAGTGCACGTGCTGGGGTGTACAGTTTAACCATGTCCTGGATGTAGGAAGGGCCTGATCCAGCATGGTACGCTAGTACCAGTGTCTTGAAGTGGATTCTAGCAGTTACCGGAAACCAGTGAAGAGAGCGGAGGAACGGTGTGGTGTGGGAAGATTTTTGGAAGGTTGAAGACCAGACGAGCCGCTGCATTCTGGATGAGCTGCAGAGGTCGGATGGCACATGCAGGTAGACCAGCCAGGAGGGAGTTGCAGTAGTCTAGGCGTGAGATGACGAGAGCCTGGACCAGAAGTTGCGTCGCTTTCTGGGTCAGGAGGGGTGATGCGGTTCTTGTTTTTTTGCAGTGTATTAGCTGACAGCCACAATTTCCAAGCCAATAGGCGGATGGAAAATCTGCAATTTCCCCACGTTGCTGTCTTTGGCAGGCCTGATGGGACAATAGCTGTAGCCAGGGCCGTTTCTAGCTTTTTGGGGGCCCTATGCAAGATGCTGTTTGGGGGCCCTAGTTTTGACAGTTTTTTAACTACAATGGGGGGGATTCCGAAGCCTTTAAAATCATCTGTGGAGATGCATCAATCTGTTACACTTTAATAGGAAAACAGGCTAATTTCACGAAAACCAAGCAATTGAAAATTACAAAAAAATGATATTAAAAAGGTAAACAATAAGGCTCCTCTATGTCAATAAATGCAAGAGATGCAGCATTTTCTCAGCTGTCAGCCCAACGATGATTTGGACTTTATTACCCCAAAAACCTAAGCCACAGCTTTGCTATCATTGCAGTTTAGTCGTGTTTATATCCTACATTGGATTTGTAAGCATATAATGCTTCACCGAACACTCACAGGAGGGGGCTTGGCTGTCTACAAATAAAGAGGGCTCATTTTAATTCTCCCCAAATATATTGAGGCTGAACCTGAACTTTGAATTCTCTGCTCCCATCATAATCTTGGCGATCTTGTTAAAATTGTGAATGCAGAATTAAAAATACTATGTAACTGGTTTGCAGTTAATAAATTATCCCTTAATGTGGCCAAAACAAATGACATGTTATTCAATACAAAGTCTGAGAGTAGAAATGACTGCATTATACGGATTTGCAATACAGAGATAGAAAAAGTTGGTGCATGTACATTTTTAGGACTGCTTGTTGACGAAAAACTCAATTGGAAGCACTATATAAATTATGTACAGACTAAACTGTCAAAAACAATAGGTATTTTGTATCATACTAAGAACATTCTTGAAGAAAATATACTCTTTATAACAGTCTATTTCTCCCTTACCTTTAATACTGCTCCAAAATATGGGGAAACACTTACTCAACAAATCTACAAAAAATAATAACATCCCAAAAAAATAGTATTACGAATAGTCTGTGGAGTTGGTAAATATGAACACACAACTCCCATATTTAAAAAAAACTCAATCTATTCAAATGTGTTGAGATAGTACAGCTTAAAACAGTACTAATTATGCACAACATTTTCCATAACAAAATGCCTAATAACATTCAAAAGCAGTTCCAAACCACACCGTGAACATATGAATGTAAAAAAAGTCACTTGAAAATAAGTGTTCACAATGATTATATGCAATTATGCATATATTATTATTAGGGCCGGGACTTTAACGCGTTAATTAAGATTAATTAATTACACAAAAATTAACGCGTTAAAAAAATTAACGCATTTTAATCGCACTTATTTTTGCACCGCGGAACGTTTCTCACTGGATGAGTTTCAGGCGTACCGATTATACTGGAGCACCAACTAACGTTCATGACTTCAGACAACAACAAATCACAGTGAACAACAGTGGGAAATGTTGTTTTAAAAAACGGACGGATGGAAGCGTCGATAAGAGCACGGTTGTGTGCAAATTATGCAAAAAGGAATTCGCATATCACCGCAGCACATCAAGCCTCAAGTATCACCTCAATGCAAAACATATAGCAGCTAGCGTGGAAGCTAGCGTGGACGTTAGCCTCTTTTATCGCGTTCACACCAAAAAGAGCCGGTACTAAAATTAGTTCATGAGAACCTTTTTACCCCCACGAAAGTCCCTGCTAGAGAGCAGAGAGCTGCTAGAGAGCAGGGACTTTCGTGCGGCTCTCTTGTGAGAAAAGAGCTATATTTCTGATTGTCTGGGCGGATTGCAAACCACGCCCCGTAAAACTCCCAAAAAGTTTTGTGAAGCCGCCATTTTATTATCCTCGCATTAGCATTAGCATTAGCATTAGCCCAGCGCAGAAACGCAGAGAGACTAATTTATGGCAACACAAAATAAAACATGGGAGAGGTGGAGATGAGGAGGTGTCGGCGTTCTGGCGATTTACAGGCCCCAACTCCGGGGACTTCCGGCCGGGGACTTTGGGCGGCAGTATACGCCGTTTGCGGCCTGCCAGTAAACCCAAAGCAGAAGAAGAAGAAGTGACGTCAGCGGCTTCATTTGCCTAATCCACCCCCAGGTTCAAAGAGTTCTCATGAACTAAATTCTCATGAACCTTTGTGGGAAAAGTACTGCGGTGTGAATGCGCCTAATGGTATACTAAAATCCATGTGAAAAAAATTGCTTCTCACTGTTCTTAGGTCAAATATTTATATGTGATTAAAAATGCGATTAATTTCGATTAATTAATTACAAAGCCTCTAATTAATTAGATTAATTTTTTTAATCGAGTCCCGGCCCTAATTATTATTATTATTATTCATTTGCCAAGTGCATGTGTACATAGTATTTTAATTTCCAAAAAAAGATAGTTGAAACTGCTATTGACATGTGCAGAAAATGACCCTATATCTAGTTTTCGTATATATATATATGCATTTATTGTTTTCCTGCCCTAACTTTTATTTAATTTTTTCTCCTGTTTTCTTTATTTCTTTGTATTCCTTCATTTCTATACGTTTTTGACGCAATAATGCCGCTGTATTAGGATGATGCACGGGAGGGATACTTTCCACAAGCTATGCTTCAGCCCTCCCGCTTCTACTAATTTTGTTCATCTTTGTGTGTATGAATTAAACTTTTTTTGTTTTTCGGATGAATAAAAAATAATAATAAAATAAAATACTTTCAATTTGGGGGCCCCCTAGTGGCCGCGGGGGCGCTATGCACACGCATGGTCCGCATATAGGAAGAAACGGCCCTGGCTGTAGCAAACAGTATACATATTTGTTTCTATAATAATAATAATGGGTTTCATTTATAACGCACAGTTCAAGGAAGTATGAGGGGTGAGGAGTTCCTTGTGGTAGGGAGGGGCAGTTCCATGGATACACTGGTGGGTGAGGAGGGAGACCGTATTTGATCCTCAGTTCCACGGGGAGCCAGTGTAGTGATTTCAGGATTGGGGGTGATATGATCATATTTGCGCACCCTCATCACCACATGTGGAACCACCACACCAAAGCGATTTCCCACAGAGGTGACGCAGCTGTACTTGTGTCAAATGTCAAGCTTGTAATCAAAGCATTATGTATTTATGATAATAATGTTAATACATGTGTTTTGCTCTGATTACATTTAAATGAAAAAAGCTTTTTGATATGTTTTGCACTATGGGAATAACAGTAGGCTATTTACATTGAAATCAGGTATTTTACATGACTGGACGCAGCAACTGGAAATGTTGGGAAAGAAAGGGAAGGGAGGTGAGTCATTTTTCCAAGAGAGGAAATTAAGTCACCATCGCACTCTGCTGCTCTTTCTGAGAACCACAACTGTGTGATGGTAAGGTCTTATACATTTATGGTAAAGTGTTGAAGTTATTTGCAAGGGATGGCCTATTTTTGCATTTGGATTAAAAACACTTCAGAATGTTTTATTCCATACAGAGGGGATATTGTGAATATTTAATGTCTTGTTTTTTAAGATTCTAAATTAAAAGGTTTTATTGTCCTCTGCACAGCAGCTACAGTGTAATTATGGCAATGTAAATCTTGTCTTGTCCCAGGCAGGCTCCTCGAACAATGCAACATAAATATAGCCTACTGTATATAAGACATAAACAATACAATAAATAAAAAAACAATGAAAATAGTGCAAGAAGTAACAAAATAGAAATAAAACAGTCCAGGAGATTGTGACTAATGTGCAAGTAATAGAAAGCTTTTATTTGATATATTATTGTTATGGTCTGGTCCCCAATTGCACCGTACATGAAGGAAGAACGGTCAAGTGTTATAACTATAGTCTATGGGCGTAAATATAACATGATAAATACTCACACATGAGTATAGCTTGCTATTTATTGTTGTATGTTTGTTTTAGTCGTTGTTTGTTGTTATTGTTTTGTTGGTTTTATTATGCATTGTTGTGTTGTCCTTAATGTTTTTGGTATTGTCTCACCTGAAAATAAAAATATTGATAAAAAAAGAAAGCCTTTATTGTCATTATACAAATAATATACAATGAGATTGTAGTGCAAATAGAATGAGATGAGCTAAAAACTGAATATACAATTAAATACTGTACATTGTATTTACTTAATTGTCAAAGTAAACAAATCTAAAAATCATCATACATTTAAAAAAAATCATAAAATGAAAAAATATATAACAAAAATGTGCCTTGCCTCCATGCTCTTGAGCAATGATCTGTGAGTAATGTGGTCACGTGGTGTGGGTCACATGACACACGAGAGGAAGAGAGTTGGAGACAACAGCAGCTCGGCCCGGCTACTGCTTTCAGACAACTCTGTGATTTCTGAGACCTGTAAACAGTTATTTTTCAAGGAAATACACCCTACTCGCAGTGTTAGCCATATGATTCACCTATTTATTGTTTTCTTAAACGGATAACTACATGGCTGACGCAGTTCACCGGGACTCATTAGGTAATGTAACTCTCCTTTACTCCACAGTTAGACACGACTAATTTATCTTTCTACAAGATCTGTCTACTATCAAACTGTGTTAAATGGTGTTGTTTCCCTGCTGGTCACCTGCTAGTGTCAGAGATGCAACAACACAACATGTAGGTTACTGTAAACAGTGGTGTAATGTCGTGAAGTACATTTACTCAAGTATTGTAATTAAGAACGATTTTGGGATACTTGTTCTTTACTTGAGTATTGTTATTGTATACTAATTTATACTCCACTAGTATACAAAGTCATTCAAAGTAGCTTCACCTTTACCAGCTTTAATCAACACAATGCATCAAAGTTAAATCAGTTCAAGATCTGAGTACTTCTCCCAACTCAGACGGTAAATCTGCTCTGTCATCTTCTGCTACAGTACTCCTTTTATATATCAAGTGTGTTTTCCCAATACAGCTCTGTCAACATCAGGTTTTTGCTGCGATGACTCCTTACTGTAATCCTGTAAACAACGTGGGATTTTCCCTCCACAGGTTGTGTCTAAATAAGGAAAGCATCATTTAGCGAGAGATGTAACTAGACAACAATACAAGAAAAGGTTGTTAGACATACCCTCATTTTGATAATGATATAGCAGTAACTGTCATCATGTTTAAATACCAGTCAGAGAAAGGTATTAAACTATTTTTCTCTCAAAAAAAGTCCTTGTAATGCAAAGAGTTTGTCATTTTACAAAATCAACTCAAATACAGGTATTTATTCTACTTTGGGGTTAAACTATATAGTCCCGCGGGCCCACCACCTACGGGAAACATCAATGGAGTCGGGTGCGCTGCCAGAAGGGTGGCAGTGAAAGCGGAGGGTCTCGACGGACCAGACCCGGGCGACAGAAGCTGGCTTTGGGGACGTGGAACGTCACCTCTCTGGGGGGGAAGGAGCCGGAGCTTGTGCGGGAGGTGGAGCGTTACCAGTTGGATCTGGTTGGGCTCACCTCTACGCACAGCGTCGGCTCTGGAACCTTACTTCTGGATAGGGGTTGGACTCTATTCTTCTCCGGAGTTGCTCAAGGTGTGAGGCGCCGGGCGGGTGTGGGGATACTCACAAGTCCCCGGTTAGGTGCTTCGTTGTTGGAGTTTACCCCAGTGGACGAGAGGGTCGCCTCCCTACGCCTGCGGGTTATGGGGGGGAAAACTCTGACTGTTGTGTGTGCTTATGCACCCAACAGCAGTTCAGAGTATACGGCCTTCTTGGAGACCCTGGAAAGAGTCCTGTATGGGGCTCCTGAAGGGGACTCTTTAATCTTGCTGGGAGACTTCAACGCACATGTGGGCAATGATGGAGACACTTGGAGGGGCGTGATTGGGAGGAACGGCCCCCCTGATCTGAACCGGAGTGGTGGTTTGTTACTGGACTTCTGTGCTAGTCATGGATTGGCCATAACAAACACCATGTTCGAACATAAGGATGCTCATAAGTGTACGTGGTACCAGAGCACCCTAGGCAGAAGGTCCATGATCGATTTCGTTATCGTATCATCGGACCTGAGGCCGTATGTTTTGGACACTCGGGTAAAGAGAGGGGCGGAGTTGTCAACTGATCACCATCTGGTGGTGAGTTGGGTCGAGTGGCGAGGGAAGCCTCTGGATAGACCTGGTAAGCCCAAACGTGTAGTTCGGGTGAACTGGGAACGTCTGGAGGAGGCCCAAGTTCAGGAGGCCTTCAACTCACACCTCCGGCGGAGCTTTTCGGGCATTCCTGTGGAGGTTGGGGACATTGAACCAGAGTGGTCGGTGTTCAAAGCCTCTATTGCCGAAGCCGCGGCGGGGAGCTGTGGTCTCAAGGTCCTAGGTGCCTCAAGGGGCGGTAACCCTCGAACCTCCTGGTGGACACCGGTGGTCAGGGAAGCCGTCCGACTGAAGAAGGAGGCCTTCAGGGATTTGTTATCCCGGGGGACTCCCGAGGCAGTTGCAAGGTACCGACAGGCCCGAAGGGCAGCAGCCTCATCCGTGGCCGAGGCAAAGCAGCGGGTGTGGGAGAAGTTCGGAGAAGACATGGAGAAGGACTTTCGGGCGGCACCAAAGTTGTTCTGGAAAACTGTCCGACACCTCAGGAGGGGGAAGCAGGGAACCATCCAAGCTGTGTACAGTAAGGATGGGACGTTTGTTGACCTCAACTGATGGAGTGTTAGGGCGTTGGAAGGAACACTTTGAGGAACTCCTGAACCCGACAACTCCGCCCTCTATGTTAGAGGCAGAGCTGGAGTATGACGGGGGATCAACACCAATCTCCCGGGGGGAGGTCACTGAGGTCGTCAAACAACTCCACAGTGGCAAAGCCCCGGGGGTGGATGAGATCCGCCTGGAAATGCTGAAGGCTCTGGGTGTTGAGGGACTGTCATGGTTGACACGTCTCATCAACGTTGCGTGGAAGTCGGAAACAGTACCGAAGGAGTGGCAGACCGGGGTGGTGGTTCCCCTATTTAAAAAGGGGGATCAGAGGGTGTGTGCCAATTACAGAGGCATCACACTACTCAGCCTCCCCGGGAAAGTTTACTCTAAGGTACTCGAAAGGAGGGTCAGGCCGATTGTCGAACCTCAGATTGAGGAGGAACAATGCGGATTCCGTCCTGGTCGTGGAACGACGGATCAGCTTTTTACTCTCGCAAGGATCCTGGAGGGGGCCTGGGAGTACGCTTATCCGGTCTACATGTGTTTTGTAGACTTGGAGAAGGCGTATGACCGAGTTCCCAGGGAGTTACTGTGGGAGGTGCTGCGGGAGTATGGGGTGAGGGGGTCTCTACTCAGGGCCATCCAATCTCTGTACTCCCAAAGCGAGAGCTGTGTCCGGGTCCTCGGCAGTAAGTCGGACCCATTTCCGGTGAGGGTTGGCCTCCGCCAGGGCTGCGCTTTGTCACCAATCCTGTTTGTAATATACATGGATCGGATTTCGAGGCGTAGTCATGGGGGAGGGGGTCTGCAGTTCGGTGGACTAAGGATTGCACCACTGCTTTTTGCAGATGATGTGGTTCTAATGGCTTCATCGGTCTGCGACCTTCAGCACTCACTGGATCGGTTCGCAACCGAGTGTGAAGCGGCTGGGATGAGGATCAGCACCTCCAAATCTGAGGCCATGGTTCTCAGCAGGAAACCGATGGACTGTCCACTCCAGGTAGGGAATGAGTCCTTACCCCAAGTGAAGGAGTTCAAGTATCTCGGGGTCTTGTTCTCGAGTGAGGGAACAATGGAGCGTGAGATGGGCCGGAGAATCGGAGCAGCGGGAGCGGTACTGCAGTCGCTTTACCGCACCGTTGTGACGAAAAGGGAGCTGAGCCAGAAGGCAAAGCTCTCGGTCTTCCGGGCCATTTTCGTTCCTACCCTCACCTATGGTCATGAAGGATGGGTCATGACCGAAAGAACGAGATCGCGGATACAAGCGGCCGAGATGGGTTTTCTCCGCAGGGTGGCTGGTGTCTCCCTTAGGGATAAGGTGAGAAGTTCGGTCATCAGGGAGGGACTCGGAGTTGAGCCGCTCCTCCTTCGCATCGAAAGGAGCCAGTTGAGGTGGTTCGGGCACCTAGTTAGGATGCCACCTGGGCGCCTCCCTAGGGAGGTGTTCCAGGCACGTCCAGCTGGGAAGAGACCAAGGGGTAGACCTAGGACCAGGTGGAGGGATTATATCTCTTCGCTGGCCTGGGAGCGCCTTGGGATCCCCCAGTCAGAGCTGGTTGATGTCGCCAGGGAAAAGAAAGTTTGGGGCTCTCTGCTGGAACTGCTACCCCCGCGACCCGATCACGGATAAGCGGGAGAAGATGGATGGATGGATGGTTAAACTAAATAAGATATTCAACCACAGGACATTGTGTTCTTTGAACATGTGATTGTCATTAATACCAATTTTCTGATCCTTTTTGAATAATACGATAATACTTTAATGGTCAGATCAGGTCTGAAATTTGACTTGCATCACAGCAGCTCCATGTAATAAATGACTAGTTTGTTAGTGTTTGAGTTTCAAGCTTCAATTACATGCATTATAGACCACAAGTTATAGCATGCACCTTTAATTTGAATGAGCTAATTTAACATTACTGATGTAAAATGAGACAAATGGTGTTAAAAACTTGCCCCAGTTTCAGATGTTGATGGTGGGTTTGTTCTTGGTCTCCCATCTATTGACACCCAGATGCTACATCACCATCAGCCCCCCCTTTCAGCAACTCTAAACGGCCCAGCTCCTTCATGCATAATAACAGTTTCGACACCGTTTCATAATCTTGTCTCACGCATGGTTAAGTCTGCAGTCTTGTTGTTCTGGGTTGGGCGAAGTATGACTTCACAGATTATGGAGTTCCTCTGTACTGTGAAGGATTTTTGAATTGATTGTGGAAGTTTGTTTGTGACCTTAAAACTGTTGTTTTTAGGGCCAAGACAGGTCTTAGTTCATGTAGACACACAAAAAGATTAAGGCCTGCTTCATGTAGCATCTCGCACAGTATGTGTTCAGTAAGGGTTTATGTGTCTGTGATGGTTTTACATCAGTGCCCCCGAAATTGTAAAAATCATTTTTCCACCCACCACTTCAGGATAAACCACAAAGTTAACCCAACACTGGAACTATTATTGAACAATAATGAACATCGCTACTAAAAATATTGGTTGTGTGGTAATCTTTGTATCTGGAAATAAAATTCAATGTTGAGTTTTTACATTTTGTATTGATTTACCGCCTTGCTCACCCCCATGGTGTTGTGGTGGCAGCAGATTTTACAGAGATGCATATCTTAAAACTTTAGCACATAAAGCCAGATCTATGTCCACTAAACCACGATTTGTAATCAAGGTAGACTGGCCTTTTACAGCCAGATTATCAGGTATTTTCCCCTGATAATACATCTCACAGTTTGCTGCAAAATGAATAGCATTTCAGTTGATACAAAGAATAACCTCCAACCTGCATACCAAGAATATCAATGCATCATCTTTTTTGGTTCAAGGTGTTTCCTTTTAACTGAAGCATAAGAGGAAGTGTTGGACTCTGCACCTGTGGGTGGCCTCTTGCTGCAGCCTGCCAGCCTACAGTAGATACAAGAGTGTTGACATATTCTCAGTGACGGTGAGGACTTAGTCTGACAAACTTGTATTTACTTTAGTGTTTTGGCTGGTACTCCAAAGATAACTGTGAACCGGGAGAGCCAGATATTTCCACAGCATGTGTCATATTTGGTGGCAGGGTCAATGGCCCACTTTTGTTTCTCCTAATGCTATCCACCGTGACGATCGACACACTCCTCTGATCAAAGATATGTGCGCACTCACGCCTGTTGTCCGCACGAAATATGAGGCGTTATTATTTTACGGAGACATGCAACCATTGTCGAAGCCAGGATGTTTGTAGTTTACTAAAATGTCCCTCACGGTGTTCAGCTGGATGTTGTTCATCTCAATTTAATGACTTAAAGTTCTCACAGGTTAGCAACAGGTGTCGTATGATGTAGGAAATGATCCCTATGAACGTAGGAAACCATGCAGGAAACCACATGTGGTTATGGTTACATTTTATTTCAATCACAGTAAACATTTCTGTCTAGCTTACTAACTTTAGGCAGAAAACATAATATGAGTAGACCTAAGAAAATACTCATGTCTTTAACTAAATGTTAAGTCTTTACTTTGAATTATTAGATTGCGGTGCCACAGAATATCACGTGACAAGAGTTTTGTCAGTCTGTAACGTTTTTCTTTAGTGTTGTTGAACTTTCATCTAGTTTACAGTTAGTGCTGACTAATATTGAACACCAGGAATGTGTTTCTTCTGTTTCACTTCACTTTCCCATTAGACAACTCTTCTAAGCTAAGGCTTTGCTCTGCTGACATACTTTGTCTGTTGAACCTGCATTCATCCTGACTCTGCAGTTCATCTGATCATGCCCATGCTGACGTTGACTGCCCAACAAGTCATTTCCTGAGGGAAAAAACTGAGTTACCCCATTCTTCATGTTCCTTTATTGTAGTCTCCAGCAAGCTCAAAGCATGTGACATATATTAAGCACGGTTAACCTACTTTCCTACTTTCCTAATGCTGAGATGACATTGTAGAGTGTTTGCCCTGTGACGCCCTGTGTCTCCTACCTTAGCTTTAAAGGGTATTAACAAATCTAGAGGCCAGTTTACCATAACATTTTCATTGCTTAATAATGTAGTTGTTTTTCTCTTTTGGTTGTTGCAGCCTCTCAGTCGGGGACACATTTTCTTGATTATTCTAACACCACAGAAACAGAGACTCCTATCTGAATTTAAGAGGTGTAGCATTGTTTTTAAAAGTGATACAAATCCTAAATTCAATTGTTAAATTCCTCTTTTGGCTATTTTCGTACCTTTTTCTAAAGAGGACAATTAGTCCTTGTGGCTTGGAGTAAAAAAAAGGGTTAAATCGCACTGAGCACATGTCTCAAAGCGCCAGAGGGCACAGAGAGGAATACATCCACACAGATTCAGAGACAAAAGAGAACGTGTCAGACTGAGGTGAAAGCTGAAGACAGACTGTTCCGGCACACGAGAAGAACGTGGAGTCACGTTTAGCATGAAATGGCAAGACTCCGGCTTACTCACTAAATTCATGTGATTTCCCTCTCAGCCAGTTCTAGTCACAACTCTTGTACTGCACAATAGTGCATTTCTGGTGTTTGTCTCTTAGTTTGCCGGAAGTCATTTATTTTGTTATTGTAGGTCAAAGTTAAGCGTATTAGCATGCTAAAATGTGCAAATAAGCAAACACAATTTGCAGACGAGCTATTTCACAAACCCAGCATTTGTACAGATTTTCCAAGTTTAGGTTAACATCCACAAACTGAAGGTGGCTAACTACCTTGGCTTAAAAGGTCTTAGGAAAATCACTGAAAGCAATTGAGACACGAGTCTTCCAATATAATTACACATCAGTAAAACAGTTAAATGTCAGGGAAGACAGTAACGCTGATTTAGAAATCTTTCTGTGGATAGTGTTTGAAATACTGCACAATGTGTTTTGTGAATAAAGAAACTAACGATTGGGAGATGCAGCTTGTGTGGACAATGCATTTCTAAAGAAAATACTTATATTAAGGTATAAGAAATGTCTTATGGTCTAAAGTGTTTATTATATATTTATACATCTCAATTGTATCATGAGGCATTATTTTGAGTTCCCCAGTCCGTTCAGCGTGTGCATCGGTTATCTTTAAGAAGATGCCCCCATCAAAGATTATTAACTGTTTTTTTATCATGTTATCGGATCACATTCTGCATGAGAAAATAAACATTGTTTTTGTTTTTGTTTCAGAGCAAGAAGGCCTATCGGGCTCCACGTCTCCCTACGGCTCCACAGACGGCAGCGGAGAGCAGGACCATCAGAGTCACAGTCATGGCAACAACCATAGCAACCATCTGTTTCCCACGGCTGAGGCGGGTCATTGGGTCGGGGCTGATCAGGAAGAGGAGGCCATTCGCAGGAAGTTAAAATACTTCTTCATGAGCCCTTGTGATAAATACCACGCCAAGGGCCGCAAGCCTTACAAGCTGATCCTGCAGCTGCTAAAGATCATTATTGTCACAGCGCAGGTACGCCAGAAGTTCTCCATATATTATCATATTATAGTTTTACTACTTATGTGTAAGAAAGAATAGAATAAAACTGTCTATTTTCATGTAAAGTGATTTAATCCCAACTCAAGTTTCGCATTATTCAAGCACAGCTTCAGGGTTTTTTAGTCTCCTCACTTCTCCTCTCCCCGACATGATTTCTCTTCCCTGTCTTTGCTGCAGTTGGTGATGTTTGGCCTCAGTAACCAGGTGGTGGTGACCTTTAAGGAGGAGAACACTATGACCTTCAAGCACCTCTTTCTCAAAGACTATGACGAGTCATCAGACAATTCCTACGCTGTTTACAAGCAGAGCGACGTCTACGACCAGATCTTCTACACTGTGGATCAGGTCATTGTTTAGTCCTTTACATCAATGCAATAATGTAACTTGCTCTGAATCTTTTTGAATCACAGTTTGCTATTGAACCAAAGGGTTACAGTGGGGGTGGTGCCAGTACGAAAGTCAAGGTTTTTCAAAGATACTTTGGTATACATCGTCTCCGGACAATGAATGTTTGTGCAACATTTTAAAGATATTTCAGACTAGAGTAAGCTTCTGGTCCAAATGTTTTCATCACTTGTTGAGATTCTAGATGCACAAATATAGATTTAAAATGAAGGAAAATAAAACTTAAAGAGCCTGTGACACGAGTTTCCCCCATCATCCAAACCCATCAATTTGAGTAAATATTGTCCCCTTGAAAACCGTTACTGAACTGATTTTGGATATTTGTACTTTGATAACCATTAATCTGCCCTTCAATGTTGACCATTTTCTGGATCTTCTCTGGGATTCTTCAAGTCCCGCCAAATTATGTGTGACGTCATTGCGGGCACAGCGCTCCAGCTGCACCGTTCAGGATCCCAGCATCTGCATGTAAACGCACGATGGCGCACACAGCAGCAAGCTCAGACAGCGATGACAGTTTAATTTTGAACGTGTCTGAGAGCTCATATGAGGCTGAAGGATCGGTTTATGTTGTATCTGTTAGAAGTTTAGGAATTAGGTGCGTCAATATGGGCGATCATACGGTCATGTAGCCAGTGGGACTAAAAATCATCCCGGGACTCTCGACCGGCCCACTTCGGTACCGCTAGTAAATTGTCAACAGGGGGAGTGGGGGATGTCAGGGGCGGCGGGTGCTGTAGATAGTAAATGTAAATATGTAAATATTTGTGTCACTGCATCCTGGTAAAATACAAATATAATGCAATGTCTGTGTCTTTGTCACCTGTGCCCTGTACTACGAAGCCAGTTCAACAGACCCTGGATATGTTTGAGTAACAAACAAACTAACAACAACAAACTAACAAACGAGATCTCGCTAAGCGGTCCTACGACGCTGGTTATCAACTCGGTAAATCAAGCCAGGGTTTCTCTCTCCAGCTGAGAGCGCGTTCACGTCTAAGACACGAGTGGATCTGACTTTAATTACATTTAACTCGAGTGTTTCGTCAACATAATGTGTTGCTTAAAATAATACTTCTCTTCTGCATACAGTATGTGACACTGTAAGTGTTGCACGGCCAGATACGGCTGGAGAAGCTGACTCAGATAAGGAAATATATGATACATTATATGATCGATGATCTGACTGATGATGTAATATGAATGATAAGTGCGACACGTCGGCGTCTTCTCTGCATACGGCAGTTTAAACTGTATTTCCTTTATCCTGTAATATGACTTGAGAGATTTAAACTCCGCACACTGAGTTGATCTCTTTTCTATAGACGACGGAGGCGGGCAGCGTCAGGTAAAAAAAGTTATTTAGCCTTCCCAAACCTGAACCTCACGCGCCGCCTATGGGGGATGTGCTAGTGACTTATCCGACAGGCCCACTTCGGTACCGGCCCATCGGGATTCGTCCCGATGGCCAGTCCGCCACTGCACCCAGCCCAGGTAAACTGTCAACGGGGGGAGCCTCGCTGCGGGGAAACGGTGGACCTGGTGTCCCGATCGGAGTGGGAATAATAATAATAATATTCCGTGCATTTTATCCATTAATTTCCCCAACATTGTGGTGAAAAAACCACAGGTTTAATCCATGTTGGTGTACTACAACTACAACTACAAAAAGCATCGGGTGGTTTTCTCATCAGGAAATGCAGACCGGCACAAACAAACGATTTTTAATCATCATTCTCACGATCATTTAATATATCATATGTTAGCCGAATTGACATGAAAGCACTAATAAATGTAGTTTCATCCACTTGAGTTTACAACTACAAAAATAATCGATTTGTTTTTATATCACATCCTACGGGAGGAAATTCAGCAGCTCTCACTACCGATTTTTAATCCTAATGTAATCATCATCTTCACCACGATCATGTATGTTTATGTTCGCCGAATTTACATGAAAGCACTGACAAATATGAATATACTGTAGTCAACTTCATTAAAACGTTATTAACGTGCCTAAACTCAGTAATTCACCATTTCTACGCATGACAACACACTTTGTCCGTGTTTGGCTCTCTCGCCAGCCACACAGTGAAGCGTTCCCGCATTGACGTCACTTCCGGCTTCCCCCAAAACTTCAAAATGAGTCGAAGGAATTTCCCCGCGATGTTCGAAATTATTGATATTTAACGGAACGGTATCGCTTTTTCTTTTTTAAACTGACGGTTCGAGATTACTAGTAGCCCAATATTTCATTGCACAACAGTTGTTGGGATGCTGTCACAGGCTCTTTAAGTTACAAATCAAAATATGATTTGGATGGATGGTGGTGTTAGAAAGTACTGCTGGGTACCCTGCTCTTCTAGCCATCAGGCTAGGCTGCACAACAAGGGGTCAACAATGTGACACAATTACTGGACATAAATACACACTGTTTCCACACATTCATGTAAATATATCTAATATGTATATATGTTCATTTTCATTTTCATTAATTTCTTAGTTCATAGTTTGTATGACCCAATATGTATATATGCTCATTTTTATTTTGTATTCATTTCTTATTTCATAGTTTTTCATCATTTTTATCTTTGATTTTATTAATCTGTGTGAATCTGTGCTGTCCTATTTTTCATCCTTACCCCGTTGCTTTTCAAACTACTGAATGTTCCCACAGGGGTTAATAAAGGTCCATTTTATCTTATCTTCAGTACGTGGCTGCCTGCTCAGTTAAAGCTCCGCCTCTCATCCTCTCCACAGTACCTGGCCTTACCAGAGACCACAGTGGGACGCTATGCATACGTGTACAATGTTGGTTTCAACGGCAGTGCGCTCTCCCTCTGCCAGCAGTACTACAAGAAGGGAAGCATCGACCCAGCCAATGACACGTTCGTTATAGACCCTCACATCAAAACAGGTACATCAACTTCACTGCTGACCTATGACTGCTAACAGTGCTAACAGTGTCAACAGTGTCTGGAGGCTGTGATCAACTCTCTGTGTGACTTTTACATTGTTGCCTCTTTGAAAACAGAGGGTGGGGGCTGTAATAAGTATGAACAGCACATCCAAAGAGATATGTACCATGGTAGTTTAGTTACACCATTTTAATTGGGTTTAATGGAGTTTAATCGTCACATGACATGCATTTGTGCCAGTGCTTTAACAGATCAGCTGATAACTTGGTCTCTGAAAAACACAAGTGAACGCTTCCCTTTTGTGAACAAACCTATGAGAGTATGGATAAAGTGCTGTAGAAGCAGTATTTTTTTCCTAAAAAAGGGTACTTCATGCATAATGTGTGTGTATGTATGTTGTTATTGTAGCGTAAACGGCTAAATCGCGTTTGAGAGATTTTAAATCTCAGATCTGCTCACAGGTCTCAGCACTCAAGCCTGCATTAATATAGGCACGGCCAGTCTATTGATAGCGTGAAGTACAACCGCGTGACTCAGTCATTTTGTACCTTAAAAAGCATTTAAATACCGCATTTAAAATCTGATGAACTCAGTGTGCATCTGGACCCGGTGACGACATTACCTATTGACGCAGCAACCACTGTAAGTTATATTCTTGTTTAATTAGACTTCTCTGTTTCATTTATTCGACTCTGTATAAATTGTTATTGTAGCGTAAACGGCTAAATTGCGTTTGAGATATTTTAAATCTCAGATCTGCTCAGGCGAAACCTGCTTTACAGGTCTCAGCACTCAAGCCTGCATTAATATAGGCACGGCCAGTCTATTGTCGCCCATCAGCTGTAGATAGTTAACTAATTAGAGGGCCGTGGCCCTACAGCTGTGAGAACTGAGCAATCAGGCGTCCATTTCGGGTAGCTCTTTCCTGGAGCGTCAGCTTCAGCGTCAGACAGCCGAAGACTGACAAAGACATTGGAGTCCTACGGGAGTAAGACTGACAAAGACATTGGAGTCCTGCGGGAGGCAAAGAGGGAGGGGAAGAGGAGGCAAATCCTACTCTGATCGAGCTGGTGTCTTATTTCTCTTTTCTTTAGTTTTCTAGCCCCGCATGCTATAATCATGTGTATTTTCTCTATTCCTGTTCATGTGTCTTCTCGCAATTATCACTGGCCCCGTGTATCTCCTAATCGATATAACCGGCCTGCTCTCGTCTATCCCACGTGCTCCACTGAGATCCAACATCTAGTTTCTGGTGGCCTGTGGAATTGCCAGTCAGCTGTTCCTAAGGCTGACTTCATCTCTGGCTACGCCTCCCTGCAGTCTCTGGATTTCCTTGCTCTCACTGAGACCTGAATTACTCCATCCAACACATCCACCCCAGCAGCTCTTTCCACTGCATATTCCTTCTCCCATACACCCAGACCCACTGGCAGAGGAGGTGGCACTGGTCTCCTGCTCTCTCCCAAATGGAGCTTTTCCCTCTTCAAGCTACCTAACTTCACTCCTTCCACCTTTGAATTCCATGCCGTCACAGTAACCCATCCTATACAGTTAACCATTGTTGTTCTCTACCGTCCACCAGGCGCCTTGGGGGACTTCTTGGAGGAATTAGATAATCTCCTCTCACTCATCCCTGAAACTGGCCCTCCCGCTGTACTTCTCGGAGACTTCAACCTCCAGACGGGGAAGATAGACGAACTAACATCTCTGTTAACCGCCTTTGCTTTCTCACTGTCTCCGTCCCCACCGACTCATAAAGCTGGCAATGTCCTTGATCTCATATTCTCAAGGAACTGCGCTACTTCTAACCTCTCTGTAAACCCGCTCCACACATCCGATCACTTCTTCATTTCATTCTCTCTATCCCTTTCCAAACATAACAAACTAATCTCTTCTCATCCTGCACTTGTCCGCCGTAACCTTCGCTCCCTCTCCCCCTCTAGCTTTGCCTCGTTGGTGCTCTCAGCCCTCCCTTCCTCTGATTCGTTCCATCTCCTGCCTCCAAACTCTGCTGCAGAAACTCTCCTCTCTACTCTCTCATCCACTCTGGACTCGCTCTGTCCTCTCACATCTCGGCAGGCTCGTCAGTCCCCTCCTGCTCCCTGGCTAAATTATGCACTGCATGCTAATAGAACCGTCCTTAGGGCAGCAGAGCGGAAATGGTGGAAATCCAAACACCGTGACGACCTCCTAACCTATCAGGCTCTCCTCTCCTCTTTCTCTGCTTCGATCTCTCAGGCAAAAAGCACTTTCTTTCAAGATAAGATCCAATCTTCCTATTCCAATCCTAAAAAACTATTTTCCATCTTCTCTACCCTCTTGGACCCTCCAAAAGCTCCTCCCCCCTCCTCACTTCTGTCAAGCGACTTTGTTACCCACTTTGAAAAAAGGTTGATGATATTCGCTCTTCTTTTTCTGACTCACCTTTACTCACCGCTGGGTCACCAGACCCTCCTTCCACCAACACACTTACCTCCTTTTCCCCCTCTCTCTCCAAGTGAGGTTCTTACCCTCATTACTTCTGCCCGCCCTACCACCTGTCCTCTGGACCCTATCCCTTCAACCTCCTTCAGACTATCGCTCCTGATATTCTACCGTTTCTCACCCATTTCATCAACACTTCTCTAACTTCTGGTCACTTTCCAAACAGTCTCAAGGAGGCAAGAGTAAACCCTCTCCTAAAGAAACCCACTCTCAACCCGTCTGATGTTATAAACTACAGGCCTGTCTCTCTCCTCCCGTTCCTGTCTAAATCACTTGAACGCGCTGTCTTTAAACAACTCTCCTGTTATCTCAATCAGAACAACCTTCTGGATCCGCACCAGTCTGGTTTCAAGGCAGGTCACTCCACAGAAACTGCTCTCATTGCTGTCACGGAGGAACTGCACACTGCCAAAACTGCATCCCTCTCCTCTGTCATCATCCTATTGGACCTGTCTGCTGCATTCGACACGGTGAATCATCAGATCCTCCTTCGCACTCTCCAAAAACTTGGAGTTTCAGGCTCTGCACTTTCCCTCCTCACCTCATACCTGAAAGACCGTACCTACAGGGTGACTTGGAGAGGGTCTGAGTCCGACCCTTGTCAATTAACTACGGGGGTCCCTCAGGGCTCTGTTCTTGGTCCCCTCCTCTTCTCCCTGTACACAAACTCGCTCGGATCAGTCATTAGCCCGCATGGTTTTTCTTACCACTGCTACGCTGATGACACCCAATTAATTCTGTCCTTTCCCCGCTCAGAGACCCAGGTCGTTGCACGCATCTCTGCTTGTCTAGCTGACATCTCTCAGTGGATGTCTGCTCACCACCTCAAGCTCAACCTTGACAAGACTGAGCTGCTCTTCCTCCCGGGAAAAGATTGTCCCACTCTTGACCTAACAATCAACATCGGCACCTCAGTTGTTTCCCCGACTCAGACTGCAAGGAATCTGGGTGTGACCCTAGATAACAACCTGTCCTTCACTGCAAACATCGCTGCTACAACCCGTTGCTGCAGATACATGCTTTACAACATCAAGAAGATACGTCCCCAGCTGACTCAGAAAGCGACTCAGGTTCTGGTCCAGGCTCTCGTCATCTCACGCCTAGACTACTGCAACTCCCTCCTGGCTGGTCTACCTGCATGTGCCATCCGACCTCTGCAGCTCATCCAGAATGCAGCGGCTCGTCTGGTCTTCAACCTTCCTAAATTCTCCCACACCACTCCGCTCCTCCGCTCCCTTCACTGGCTTCCGGTAACTGCTAGAATCCACTTCAAGACACTGGTACTTGCTTACCATGCTGCGAATGGATCTGGCCCTTCCTACATCCAGGACATGGTTAAACCGTACACCCCAGCGCGTGCACTACGCTCTGCATCAGCCAAACGACTCGTTGCGCCCTCGCTGCGAGGGGGACCCAAGTTCCCATTGGCGAAAACACGTGGGTTTGCTGTCCTGGCTCCAAGATGGTGGAATGAGCTTCCCATTGACATCAGGACGGCAGATAGCTTGCACATCTTCCGGCGCAGACTGAAAACTCATCTCTTTCGACTCCACTTCGAGCGTTAGAACTATTAACGAAGCACTTTTATACTAATAAAGGACTGGCTTACCTAAAGCCAGTTGAGTAGCACTTGAAATGTTTGGCTCTATGAAACCTGATGTACTTATATGATTCTGTTTTCTTCAAGGTTGTGTCTTCCTGGTCGAATGTACTTATTGTAAGTCGCTTTGGATAAAAGCGTCAGCTAAATGCAATGTAATGTAATGTATATATATATATATATATATATATATATATAATAATAATAATAAATCAAGCAAGCAATCTGATTGGTCGATAGTGTTTTTGCGGACCTCTTTGATTACAGATTTGAAAACATCGTTGCTTGCTTTAAAAGTAGCACAATTCATTATTTCAAACCTTGGAAAGTATCTAGATATCCCTGCCCTAATGCCAAAGGAACTGCACACTGAATATGTTTTGCCATTTGATGTCTATGTCTGGACCGCTGCGTAAAAAGGAGGGTTTCTGCCCCGTTACTTCTCCGCTGTTTTCTTGTTCCAGTTTGAAAAGCAAACTGCAGGCAGTTTGCTTTTCAGCCCAACGGTATACTGTTTTTCTCAGACGCGGAGGGATACTGACTTGTTGTGAAAAGTAGCTTACAATTCTACCCGTGGTATACGCTCAGTATATCACGGCTAAGAACCAATCAGATTGCTTGATTTGACTTGTCCGTTTTATAAATATATATATATATATATATATATATATATATATATTGGTTGTAAATAGTCAAAAATCAAGCAGAGTATTAGATCCAGGGGGACAGTTTTTGCCTGAGGGTCAAACACGGGCAACCTCAACCTCACTCCCAAGAAAAGTGAGGATGAATGTGTCAGCATTATCACTTACACAAGTAGCTACAATAGTTTATAGACTCAAACTAAAAAACTACAAAGTCTTCATAAATAAATAATAAATATTGCGTAATAATGTTATGAGGTGAAAATAAACAGTCAGGTCCATTTTAGGTTGTTACAGTGCAACACTAATCTATTCTTGGCCTTTTTAGTGCATGTTAACAAAACCAATTGTCTGCAAAACACAACTTCTTCATCATATAGATAATAAAAGGAAAAATACAAATCATCGGTCATATCTTATGATTAAGATTCATAATATCATACAAGTATTATTAGCGTTAATACATCCGTTGGGTGGAAAGCACTCTGACCCGCCTGAAGGTGCTTTGTGTTCCTTCTGGAGCAATATAAACCGTATGGGATGCTTAATGGGTACAGCCTCATGCACCAGAAATGTATCTCTGACTATAGTGGTGATAAAACATGCAATGCAGCGTGATTAGAAATGTTTGTAGCAGCAGTAAAGCAGCTTGCCACTGCATTTAAACCGATCACAGAATCTGATCTGTGGTGGAACACCTTATCTCGTCATTCTGGCTGATCTGAGTTATGGGATAAAGACAACTTTTTTCATTCTTTGGTGAGTTCAATATGCTTTAATTGATTGCCCCTTGCAGATGACCATTGAAGGGCTCCCATGTACAGATATTATCATTGTCCATAATCTCTCAAAGCCCAAGATGATGCCTTTCAATTTCTTGTTTTTCGTCAAACCTAAACATTTTCAGTTTACTGTCAAAGACAAGGAAAACAAATATTCAGATTCAAGAACATTTTTACTGTCATTTGCTAAATGGCTGTATTTTGTAATCCCGTTTACTGTATTAACATATGTTGCACACACTCAATTTCTTACTTCCTCTTATCATTGTGTTTTTAGTTCAACGTGACCAGATTTAGAGGAAGTAAAAACTGTGGATGAAAAACGTCACGTTAAAATCTTTCTTCACCTGATCACATGTATTTCAATGATTGCTTTTTCACAGTTCTGAGAGATTCAGTGTTTCTCTCTCTTCGGGACACTCCAGTTTTCCCTCAACATGACCTTCCTTTGTTCTCCACTCATTTCAGATTGTGTAGGTGTAGACCCGCTGGCCACACCCACAGGTCTGCTCTCCACCAGCTACAGGAACTTTACACTCAAGTTCCACAAGTAAGGCTTCATTTTTCACATGGCTTCAACTTTCTCCTTGTTTGGCCTCCGTTGATGATATTTATCTTGAATATCTGATGATGACAGACAAGACGCCAACTCTGCTGCACACACGCATGCAAGCATGTATACAGGACACACACATGTTTTAGTACGATAACACACACAGATAAGTGCAACATTTTCTCGTCCTGCTTCTGGTTTGTTCCCGGTCGATTGTTGCCATCATGAAATGTCTGTTTCCAGTCTGATTTGTGTTTTATTTTTCAAGGCTCATTAACGTCACTATAGAGTTCCAGTTGAAGGCCATCAATTTACAGACCATTATATACAACGAGATCCCAGACTGCTACACTTTTTACATAAAAGTAAGTAAAGATGTCAAAGACAAAGATATTAAGCTGATGGTTCAGTTTCCAGTTCTAGTGAGACTTCTTAAACTGAGTTATATATTCTACGTGAATCTGTCTCCTTTATGTGTACACTTTTTTTATTAACAAAGCCATTCTTGGCAAGACACAGACTACTTATCTTTTTTTAAACACATATATGGAAAACAATGTCCAAATTTGAAATTGGTAGAGGCACGTAAGTAGCACAGTATTACAACAGCAGTAAAAATGCAAGGATTAGCTAACTCTACACATTAGGTTTATCATATAAAATAATGACGTTAGTGCAAAATAAAACTTTCTCTGAATTCTCAATGGTAGTTGCGGACCTGTTAAAGAGAAATGCAAACTTTATTTTCTACTACAGTTTCAAAGGACTTGAGATATGAATGCTCCCTTTTTCTTCTTCAGATACTCCTGGACAACAAGGCACACAGCGGCAAGGTGAAGATCCGGTTAGAAAACCAGGCTTCTATAAAGGAGTGTAAAGACCCGAGCGTCTCTGGACACGGTGAGATGAGGGAGAGCATGGATAAGACTCAGAAAGTAACATATGACTCATATTGAAATGCTGCAGCAGTTGTAAGCAGGTTGGAGATTATCATGAACCATTAGCAAGCTTAAGGAAATGTATGTTTGAGTTACTATCAGTCAAACGGCAGGAAATGTCATGCGCGAAGTTAGAGTTAAGGTTACTTCATCTGACTGAAACCCAGCTAACGGCTCTGCTTCCTCCCTATGATCCTCCAGCTGAGAACTACACACGTGTAGCGTTTGATGTCGTTGTGGCTCTGGTGTGTACGCTGTCCCTGCTGCTGTGTGGACGCTCCATACTGCGAGGCATCATACTGCAGCAGGTACCATAAAGTCTGTTGCACCCAAAATAAAACAGATTTAGCTTTGAATTACAGCTTTACAGTCACCAGCACATGCAGAATCATGGTACAAGAGGGGAAAAGGTAAGTCAGCAGACTGAGGATATAACAACTTTGTATTTTTTGCGTGTTTATTTATCCAATTTATTTACGAAGGCCCAGTTAATAAACGTTTCCTTACATCCATCTAATGCTTCATGTTAATTCCTCTCTTACCATCTTTGTGTGTTTACAGGAGTATGTGAATTTCTTCAGGGAGACTCTGGATCGTAAGGTGTGCTGTGCAGATCGGCTGGAGTTCATTAACGGATGGTATATCCTCCTTATCTTCAGCGACATCCTCACCATCACTGGCAGCATCGTCAAAATCGGCATTGAGTCTAAGGTGTGTCCTACTTACCAGTACGCCTTTTCTGATTTTTTATGTTGGGTTGTATTATGTTCTTACACCAAATCACACAATAACGTTAACAAACTAACCCATCCATGCAGCAGTTGATCAGTAGCTATCGAGTTATTCCAGGAGAAATACTTTTTTATGTATTTGCTATTCCTTTAGGTGACCACTATTTATTTATTTTATGTTAGTGGCACATAGTTCAAAAAGGTGCGGTGCCGTTAAAGTATATTTTCTTATCTCCTGACAGACTATGTCCTCATACGACTTGTGTGGCATCCTGTTGGGAATCTCCACACTCATGGTGTGGGTCGGAGTCATTCGCTACCTCACATTCTTCCAGAAGTACAATGTAAGTCACAGACACAACAAGACAAATTATGTTATTTGTACAAAGCTGAGAAAATGCTCCTTTTGATAGGTTGATTTAATTTAGTGTATCCTGTTCAGAAAGTCTCCGCTCCCTCTCCCTTTTTTTTTCTCTAATGTTTTCCTCTCATATGTCTTATGTCTCGGTGCCTCCCTTAGATCCTGATCGTGACACTTAGAGCAGCGTTCCCCAATGTGATCCGGTTCTGCTGCTGCGTGGCCGTCATCTATCTGGGATACTGCTTCTGTGGCTGGATCGTCCTGGGACCGTACCACGTCAAGGTGAACATCAGTGAAACTCTTATACACTTGTTTGTAGTGACATTTATATAATGTTGTCTCCGTAATAATTGATGCAAAGAAATTGGAACTTCATTGAAAAAACAAACGGCAAAGATATGCTACAAATCCTTAAAAAAACACAGTAAAAAACCATACAGCAAAGCTCAGGCTGAAGCTACAGCTTATTACCTTTTTACAATACAATATAGACAATATTTGTATTCTGTTCCTACCATAGCATGTAATTTCTGTCATCAATTAAAAGAATATATATTTATTAATGACAACATTTTTTAAACGTACAAAGTGACAACGTCTCCTTATATCTGAAATACAAATATGTTCCATATAAGGAAATCATTTTTTAGATGTTTAATTGAGCTCTTCTGCTTCCTGTCCCTTAGTTCCGCTCTCTATCCATGGTGTCAGAGTGCCTCTTCTCCCTGATTAACGGGGACGACATGTTCGTGACTTTCTCGGAGATGCAGGAGAGCAGCACCCTGGTGTGGCTGTTCAGCCAAGTGTACCTGTACACCTTCATCTCCCTCTTCATCTACATGGTGCTGTCGCTGTTTATCGCTCTCATCACAGGAGCCTACGAGACCATCAAGGTAGGAAGTAACTTCAAACCAGGTCATCATTTCTGTTTTCCTAACTACCAGAATGGAGAGGACACGCTGCAACAATATAATAGAAAATAACAGAAATGTATTCTCGTTGGTTTTCACAGCACCAAACCCAAGGACCCATCCACATCACAGACCTGCATGCCTTCATAGCAGAGTGCACGGACGCACCAAACTCAGGGAAGTTCAGAGGACTGGAGACCTCGCCGTGCTCTTTCTTCTGCTGCTGTGACAGGTGAGCAGGGGAGGCACACGATCTATGGAGATTTAGGCCCAATCCCAAATCACCCCCTACACCCTACCCCTACACACTCCCCCTCCGTTTGCGCGTTGGTGCAGAGGGTCTGCCATATTAAGTGCTGTTCCAAACCAACAAGTGTGCAGCGGTGTGGAGGGGGAGTGGGCTATCAAGCCCTCAAACATCGGTGCTGACTTGAGACCGGTCTCTACCTGACCGGAGTCACGCTGTGTGTGTCCGTCAGGAAACACGCTGTTTACAAGTAGTTCCAGCAAACATCCACTGATAAACTACGATGTTAACAACCTCATGATGACCTCATATGTTTTTAACTTAGGATCATCTGTGTTTAGTCTAGAAAAAGGTAAATGTGTGCATTTTATTATATAGTTGTGTATATTTACAGACTGTTGCAAAAACTAAGAAGCTTATAAACATCAGGTTTAAAACTAAAAGAGTTTTACAAGAAAGTAACACAATTAAAGATGTTTGGAGTTTTATTTGAGTTATTAATTTAAAAAATGTTGTCAAAGAGATGCTGATTTGAAACCGTTGTTACATACAGTTACGGCATTTCCTGTTTCTGCCGGAGAGAGGGGAGTTTGTCCCAAAGCTTGCCGCTGTCTTTATACCCTTAACCCTTAATGGAGGGAACTTCATTCAGCTGCGAGTGTGGCTACAGACGGAGTTCACTCCGTCGAGGGGGTGATTTGGGATTGGGCCTTAATCATTATTTAGGAACAATTAAATAAATCAAGTGTAACCAAACAACCTAAGCTGGGATAATAATATCAGACAGTATTGGGAATTGAAACATTTAAACAATAAACTTTAAAATGAAATTAGGAAAAGGAATTAGGAGCTGTCAGGTAAACTAGTGGTTATGACACACACAACACAACAGGTTGATTCTGTGCAGATATTTATTGCATGTCACACATATAGACTGTATACAAATCATAATAATATTAAAATATATATATTTTATCTTTATCAGTCTATGCTCGAATCCCTCACTCCCCTCACATGTCTTGTCTGTATCCCTACTTTGACTTTCAAAACAAAAAAGGAAGTAATTCTTTAAGATCCTTTTTCAAAAATGACGACATAGGTTTGAAAGTAGGTTAAAATAGAGTGAGAAAATATCAGATTTAGAAAAAACATTAAAATGTCTGAGGGGAATTTATTTTTTTCCAACATAATTATATTTTTTAATGCATCTTTATTACGTGCACAAACAATACAAACGGATGAAAAGGCAATCATGGGGAAAAAACACATGATACATTCTCAAAGCAAGGATTAATTTAAAAAAATACCAAAAATATCTTTCAGCCTGATTCCCACTTAGATTGATCGTCTATTTATTTTAACTTTCAAAGTATCCCAATATTACTCATCTTTAGGTAAACACTACCATTATTGAACTCAAAATAATAAAAATGTTAATTATGTTAAATATAATGTTTAAGAAAGATTGTTTAATTTGTTTTGTTATTTCCTCCAGAATGACTTCATATGAGGATGTCCTGCTTGTGAACTGAAGTTGACCTCAGTGACCTCAGAAGCATCACTACCCCCCCTGCTGACCACAGGGAGACACTGCATACTCCTGATGCTGAATGTCTCTGTACCAACATGCTGTGTATCTGGGTCAAACCTCATCACTCATCTGAAGCATGAGCTGGACCAACGTTCTGTTGAAGGAATGAGTAAAAACTTCTTACTCCTGTCTTTTATGTCCATGAAGAAGAAACACGGGGCTGATGCAGGACTGGATCTTGCTTCTGTACGGACAGGCATCATGGATGACTAAAGCACCGACAATTATCTGTTCCTTGTTGGTTTTAAAAAGAGTACCGTATTTATTATAATGCATTTAATGAGGCACAATTTACTGAGTGGGTACAGGTGCCATGATGAAGGCTGAAGTAGTGCATACATGGTGCTGTTTTTGTTTTTAGTGTTTTTGTTTTTACAGTATTTAAAAGATTTTACCTCTTAAAGAGTTTCTTATGCATTTCACAAAATACAGCCTACATCTTATCTTATTTCCTACACTCAATTACTCCAATACCATAATATCCTTTAAATTCTATACAAACTCTTTACTCTAGAAACTACTTGGCAGAAGATACAATGGGACAAGTCAATTCATACAAAAGATAGAAGGGCCCTTGAGAGCACTGACCTCTGCCAAGACTGTTTCCATAAGAATGCATGTGTATGCCCCAATGAATTGGATCAATTCTAAAATAAAATGGGTTCTTAGTTAGCCCATGTGTATCTATTTCACCCAGTTTATTAACTTTGGGCCAGTAGTTTTTACTTATTTGTTTTAACCCTTAGACAAACAAATCAACGTGGCAGGGTTCATTTGGTAAAAACCCCAAATCCAAAGCCAGAACAATGTGGTACGAAAGGACCACAAGCAGATTTACAGTTTGAGGTTTCAGATGTGGGATTGATTTGTTTTCTGTCCCGTGAACTGCACCTTCTGTATAGAGTTTCAAACACTTTGATTTTTTCTACTGCACAAGCGTCACGCTGCCTTCAAATGTGGATATTACTATTATTGTACAGCTTGTGTGATGTATTGCACTCATCTGAGCATTCATCACTATTATGTTTATAATGAAGCACTCAACATTGCCCGTGGTTATCTACAAGGAAAGCTCTTCTTTCAGACCCATGGGCATGTTCCTTTAATGATGCCTTACTTCATTCATTATAAGGTAAACATATTAGCCCTTACCTTCAATTCTATACTGATTGTAGTTGTATCTGGCGTGTTTTAAGAGAGAAATGACTTGAATCATCCGACAAAGTCGAGCTGGGTTTAGGCCAGGGGTGTCAAACTCAATTTCATCGCGGGCCACATTAGAATTATGGTTGCACTCAAAGGACCGGTGGTAAATTTAAGACTATATAAATATACATAGATAAATATCTATAATATATATAAAATAATGTATTATTTAACAATATTTCCTCTGCATTGGATTATTATCGGATAGGGTAATAACTTCATAATTAACTACGTCTGAAAGCAGAAGTCTAGGGCAAATAATTGCAAGCAATTCTCATCTCACAAAATGAGATGCATTGTGGGACATGTCGTTTATGGGCAACATGCTCCTGTAAAGCGGCACGTAACCTTATAATAAACGTATTATATTCTTTGCAAGCTCTTGTGGGCCACATACAATGAGGTGGCGGGCCGGATTTGGCCCCCGGGCCTTGAGTTTGACACCCCTGGGTTAGGCTAGGTAACTGAATGACTGCAGAAACATAATTGCACTTCTGTAATAATGCCTTGTCACACTGAATCATCTTTTACTGTCATGTTGTTGTCTTCATAATGATGTCTTGTCGAAAACAGTTTTCCAGTGACTTCATCTCTAGTAGAGAGTAGAGGCTTGATTTTTTTATTATACCTCAAAGCGCACACAAAGAGTCTCAAACTCTCGAGTCTAGAAGGTTCCTTGTCAGGAAAATAGTTCAGGTATAGTTTCTAAGAGAGATTATCTCTGGTTCAAGCAGTAACATGTTAAACAGTGTTTTTTCAGTAATCTTATTCCACATAATAAACAAGCAATGTCCTATTTATGCTGATGGATCCTAAATGTGTCAATGGCCTTCACTTTAAATGATATGTTAGGCATGCATTATTTAAAAATGATGTAGATGTACCTTTCCTACAGTTTGATGTTTTTCTACATAAAATCAGGATTTTAACTGTACAACATTAGAGACTCTATGTCTGGAAACTATCTACGGGATCGTTTTTGATATTAAAACATTGTCGTGTTTCACTTCATATGATTTTATTTCATCTGCAGTAACTTGACTTGCAGTTCCTACGGGTTGTCAGAAGAGGGAGTAGCTGGATACTGATCTGTTTAACATTGTACTAAAGTAATACATTTGTATTATCTGCTTTGTTGGCATAAAAGCTTTATTTTTACTTGGAAGTAACATTGAGATTGGAAACCTATTTTATAAGTGAGACAGGGTTAAATGAAAGCTATGAACATGTTAACATAAGATCACAACAACAACAAAAGGTTTTTAAGTTTTTTAATAATTTAAAGAATAAACTATGATTCCTCAACCCAGCACACAAACACAGCTGTTTCAGTTTCAGGCTGCAGCACAGAGCTTGCAGAGAGGGGGAAATACACTTTTTTTCTGAGCAGTCCGATATGATGAGCTCATTTCCTGGTTATTGAACTTCCCAAGTGAGGCTTGGCAGTTGATGTAGCATATCTCTGCCTTTCATCCACTTAACCCTAATATCATCATACATTATGTACTGCTCTAACCACGCCTTGCTAGTTCATGCCAGACTGTGAGGGGGAAGGAGATGTAGGATTCATTTCATTTTAAGAGGACATGATGTGTACGTATGCAGAACTGCTTTAACTACATGCCCTGAGGTAAAGTCTTGCTCCAGAAGCTTCTAATGGTCTATCATTTGTAGTTTCAGTCTGCTGATGTCGGGCGTGGTGCTTTGTTGACGCTGGTTTGATCTCAGCTTGAAATCCAGTCAGCTTGCTGTTAGACATTCAGGTTATTTTATATTAACTATGCACCGCGGATCGAAACTGCAAGCCTGCAGTAGCAGCAGTTTTCCTTTCCTGTGTCTTATAATACTGAGTCACTGGGCTTGCAGAGTGTGCTTAGTGCCACAGGCAGTGTGTGCATCTGTCTACGCTACGAGGTGTTTTGGCAGATGTGTGGCCAGACCACCTCACCAAAGAAAAACATTTAAAGAACTAAGCCTACAAATAAAAGTACGGTATATTATCAGTCTATCCTAACTTTATTATGGATTTCTACTAGAGCCCAGTTCTGAGCCACACCCATGGTGTGACAACATGATGGAGCAATCTGAAATGGATGGGCAGGATGTGAGGTGAATATTGCAGCTTTTTCAGCTCTTTGATATGATGATTAGTGCCATTAGTGCCAAGTTCAAAGAAGGAGCCGAAACCTGTTTACTGACATAGTTGTGGTTGTGGTGCACCATTGTTTCAGTTATGCATTGTTTTAAACAGCTGCAAAACATCTTTAAATATAAAAACAGCTTACTAAATGTAGGTTTTAGTTGAATAAACAGTGAAACTTTGGGGAGAGTTTTGGGTGTCCCTCGTGGATTGGAAAGGTTGACAGGCTGCTGATGAAATATCTGCCACGATCCTGTACAGAGCAAGGATGGAGACGTGACTCACACACTCTCACTCTTCATTGAGAATGTGTTCACTGACGAATCCCATGTTGATGCTTTCTGGGTAGCCTTCATTCCTTCCTTCTCTCAGAGAGCATTAGATTTCTCTTTTACCAAAAGCTTTTTATTCAAAATATCTCCATTCTTTCTCCCCATCTGAGCTTCGTTGGAGAAAACAACAGTTTATGTCAGATGTCTTTATTCCATTCACTCTTTCTTCTCTCTGTGAGTTCCAATAGTCTTTGTATGTCTTCCTCCTTTTCATTGATTTCTATTGTGGTGCCTGCAGCTGCAGCTCAAAACAGCATTCAGCTTGCAGCTTTTGTGGGCTTGTACCATAGGGAAGTGGACACTGTGTTAAACTACAAAAGCAGAAACTTTTATCAATCTGAAAGAATCAGTTTTATTCAGGCATACTTCCAACTATCTAGATCTCTGGGAACAGAAAACCCTTTTGTGAAAAAGGAAAATGACTATTCAACTCAAAGTTACTGCTACTTTTACTTTTACTTTTTTCTTAGGAGTACTTCCTCCAGCACTGTAAATCTACAACAACCACTCTCTGACCTCAGTTTTTTTAAACAATTAAGTTTCTCCCAAAGGACCAGGTGGCCCCGTGCCACACTGTGTTCCCCTATTTTTTCCTCCTTTATTCAAGAAAAAACATATATGTACATCGAACATTATATACACACAAAACATTGACTTCTGGGATACATAAAATAGGTGCAAAATGGAATACAAAGAAATAAAGAAAGAGATAGTGATGACCAAAAGGTAACATTTAAAGTACAAATATTTATCAAATACTCATTTGGTTTTGCTTGCCTTCTTATTTTTTGTGATTCTTGGTAAAAATGTGTATGGCTTGAGTCAGTAAATGTCTTCTTGTGAATGCGGGAGCCCTACCACACTTTTTCATTATTTGTTTAAAGAAAATATATATGTACATCAAACATTATTTACACACAAAACATTGACATACATATTTTTTTAATTATAAGGAAATAAAGAAAGAGATATAAAGAAAATAGTGATAAAAACCAAATGTAACATTTCAAGTAAAATATTTATAAAATGCTGATTTCTTTTTGATTGCTTTCTAATTTGTAATATTTGTAATAAAAGCGAAAATGTGCAAAATAAGGTTTTGACGTCACAACGTTGACGTCATTCCTGTTTTGCATAATCACCAATCTCGCGTTGTTGATTGGACCGCCCGCGGGATTTAATCTGCATCTCCCCGCCCCGAGTCATCCTGCCGCCGCCTGCCGCTGCTCAAACGTGGAGGGAAGGACACGGAGAGGGACTCTCGGCTCCTGACTGCGCGGGGTTATTGTTAGTCGCGAAATGTACGGCTCTGTCGACATATATATTTAGTGCATTTCAACCTCAGAGCTGGACCGAAAGGCTGGGACTGTTTGTTTCTTCTTCAACGACAGAGCCGGCGGTTGGAAGGTATGTTGAATTCATCACGTTGTAACGTTTATTCAAGTTACGCAGAAACCCCTTCTCGTTTCTTTGTGCTATTTTAATCCCTAAACTACTTCCAGAATGACTGTTATGCTAAGCGAAACTCGTGCTCTTTTTATGGCATGCATTTTAAATTAACCACACATTATTTGTTTTGAAGCCAAACGCCCTGTTTGTGATGATGGATGTGTAACGTTAGCTTGGCTCGCGTCGATTAGGCGGTGGTTTCTTGCTCTCAAAACGCTATTTATTGAAGTGTACAGTGGTGACAAGTCTCAGCTGGTACGGTTGTTAGTTGTATCGGGTTTCATTTATTGACTGTGCCCCTCAGCAAGCTGCAACCACCGTGCACCGCTATTGTTCTGTGTGGCTAAACGGGGCCTTTGGCTAAACCTGGGAGAATTCAGCGTGTTTGGTCACAGAGACAATTGGTATTATTAAAGCTCCACTTGATGCTTGGAAGAAAAAAAAACCAGAAGCTCTCGTGAAAATGGTTCAAAAAGTGGGGTCCGGGGACCACCTATAGAGCTCCTTGACAGGGAACCAAACAACACGAGGTTTGATAGTGTTGGACACATGGGAGTTTGAAGTATCCCATGTGTCTTGAACTGGTGTTAAAACGTATGTAAATGCACTGAATTGTCAAAAGGTTGTCATGTTGGCATTCCGTTTGTTTGACATCAAGAAGGTTATGTCTTGTGTAAAAATAAATGCTCAAATGTATCAGTCGCATGTCATACACCACTGACTTTTTTTTTATATGAAAATGTAATATTGAAGTAGATTGCACCCAGGGCTTCCTGTCTGCACACCTAAATCCCATTTTGTGTTCCAAGATAAGCATCATCTCTGTTTTCATTTGGATCCCTGCACGTGGAGTGATGGCTTTCACGAGTTGGCAGCATAACACGAGAAAAGGAAGGAATGTCGGATGGCATCGTCTGCAGATTTCAGTGATGGAGAGATGCAGTTTATCTTCCAGGTTTTGGCTCAGAGTCTGCATTAAAGAAGCAGTGGGCTGGGTGTGGTGGGCAGAGTTTGGGAAGGGGAGCAGTGACTCTCTCTCTGGCAGTTTGACATGCAGCCACTCATTAGGGACATTGTAGTATCTTGAACAGGTTACTACTATGTGTGTTGCTGAGGAGTGTGTCACCTGGCTGGGTGTGAATAATGGTGTTCTTTCCCTCACACCTTTTTGCACCCACTGGCTCAACTCCAATAGCTTATTTAAGGGTCACTGATGCTGTGTTTGCCTGCATTTGAAGGACTCAATTGTTGTGGTGTTGGTTATCCCACAATCATGTTATTGCCATCAGGTATTTGCACTTAGATTATCATCAGTGACTGGTTCCAGTCAGCCATCATGTGCTTAATCTTTTCACATCTTGAATTATTTTGCCTTTCCAACCCTTGTGTTTTGTTGAGACTGGCCAAACTTCCTTAAATATTTGGAGCACTAACAGACAAGATGTGCAACAATAATAGTTAAACAGACAAAATAAATGTTCACAGCTTAGTTTGTGTTATGGTGTGTTTGGGCTATGCATAAACAAGTGTATGTTCCTTTTGGTTGCCCATAACAAGTAATTGATAGTGTGTTGCATGACTGTGTTTTAGGTCACATAGGCCCCAGAGAGGTCCAACTTCCTGTTAGATTTGTTATGGGATTTAGAAGAGGAAGTGCAGTAGAAGGGCTGAACCAATATATCAAGTATATTAGCATCTGTTGTGATAAGTTAATCAGCTGTTGTCTTCAAGACCCCACAGAGATTGCCTAGAGGCAGAATTACCGAACACAAACCGGTTCGGCCTGCCCTTCAGGTTTGGTGAAAATACCCAACACACTTGCCAGATCTGGCCTTTGTAGTGGAACACAGCCAGTGTTTTTAATCTGCACACTGCTGTCAACACCCCTGCTTCCTTTTCCTATTTATAAAGGCCAAGGCAACAATAAGAGGGCCTCAAAATAGTTATGTCATTTCGCTGCATCCTATAACCTTGAACCAGTTTCAATGGATCGGATATGGGGGTTAAAAAAGAAACCACAAGTGTTATGCAAAGACATGTCATGCTTCAAAATCCTGAATTGCCTGTACAGGGTTTTATGACCAGTCGTACAAAAGCTTAATGATTTACAACATTTAGCAGGATGTGTGACAAGGAATTAGGTTTCATAGTTAAATAGTGATGAGGTTGTATTGGCCCAATCACAAAGGTTTATTATTTGTATGATCGGATTGTGCTCTGTGTGGCTTTAGTTCGTTGTATATTATCTCTTCCGCTTAAGCCAACTTGAAAGTGCCTGCTTTTATGACTGAGGCGGGCCTGTCATTCCCAATGGGGGGCTGCAGTTGTTTATTTCAGGCATGAGAGAAAAGCAAGTGGTTGACATAGGGACATTTGTTGTAGTGTTTTAAAACACAACATATTGGGAATCAAAGCTAACCCCATAAATGCTTTATTCTAAACTACATGCATTTTTCTCAAGCTTGTAAAGCTGTCGGATTTCAACAACCTTAGCCTTCTTGCCAACATGTTGATTAGTATCTGAGATGACAGCCCTGTGAACAACTAGCCTCGCTGTCTGTAGTGTCAGCTTCACCCTGTTGCATGTTGGGATATGCGGTTGGATTATTACATCTAGGGGCTGATGATTTGGGCTTTTAACTCAGTTTAGCATCATCTTTGAGCTGTGAGATGTTATAGTGGTTATGGATGCAAGCCTCGCAAAACTAATGCTTTTATTTTTTTACAGCATAAAATGTGTAACTTGCCAAGATGATAATCAAATGTCTTGTTTAGTCTGACAATTAGCCCAAATCCAAAGGATAATCAATGTAACATGAGGAATAGCAGTATATCTTCACATTTAAGAACCTGGAGCCATCCAATGTTTGGTATTTTTCCAACAAATAATGCCCCATAAAAAAAATCCTCCAAATCAGAAGTTTTGTGGTGTATGACCAACCACAAAAAGCCCCAGATAATTCCAATGCAATATTATTATAGGACGAAGACAACACGACAATATTCACATTTTGGAAAGCTGGAACCAGAAACGGTTAGCCATGTCATCTTTACCAAGGGATATTGTGCTTTGTTTGCGTGTCCCTTGTCTTAGAACTCGCCCCAACATGAGGGCAGCTCTTGCACAGGAAATTTGCATCTGCTTGAAAGTCAGCTGCTTTTACAGCCTGTGTCGGTCCCCGGCCCACACCCAGGGAAATTCAATCCAAGCTCCTGCCTGCTTTACTGCATCTGTTTAGGATGACATTCTGGATTCAACTGTATTTCATCATGCCCCATCAGTTTGTGTTGCTTCTGGCTGTCCAGCGGTGGGGTGGTGAGACAGGGTGGTGTTTTTACTCTCGTCTCTGTGGTTTGGAGAGGCTGGCACTCCTGCCCATTAGGATAAAGCGGTGGACGCTGGCGCTGCAATTGTAGGCCCTCTGTCTGTCTGGGGCTGAAGGTAGGCTCAGTGCACTGTAATTATTGAAAGAGTTATTCAGCACTTTCCGAGTCTGTTTGATAGCTCGCTTTGGTAGCCATGAATGCCATCCCAAAACGTTCTGCTGTGCCAACATAAAGCTTTTCTTTAATCAATGATTCACTGCGTGCATTTGCTTTAATGTTCTCTGCTACATTTTGCAGCATTGTTTTAGGTTATATTCGCAGCAAAGGGGGGGCAGAACTGTAGATAATGGGAAAACGTGTGTGAGTTCCTGTATAAAAGCAGAAGGGGCATACGTAGTAGTAACTTTTCCCCATTTGCTTTGTGTAGCCGCTATCTCCAATGACTCGGCAGTATCTTTTGATCAGGTTAGTTATTGATCCATGTCTGTCTGAGGTGAATCAGCATGCACAGCAACTATAAAGGCGTGTTTGTTTATGTTAACAGGCTCGGCATATCCTGTTCTCCTCTTTGCTCTGCCTCTTGATATGCGAGAGAGAGACGCCATGGTCTGTTTCAGTAATGGGCTTGTGTGTGTGTGCGTGTATACTGTGTGTGTGGTTTGGGCAGTTCAGGGGTTTGGCTGTCAGAGGCAGACGAGGTGTGGGATCACTGTCCATCTGACCTCAGCTCACCCCGCCAGTCAGAGGCAGGGTGACTGATCCGGCCCCCGGGCTCTCAGCATTATATTGACTGCCTGCCTGTCTATATACAGTTGGCTGATGCACAAGAGAGGAGCGGCTGGCAGGCTTTGATAGGCAAAGCTGATGAGGATTCTATTCTACCAGCCACCCTGAACGGCATCTCTCTGTCTAGGTCTTTTTATTTTTATGCTGATTCAAGATACTGAAAATGTCATAATTTCGAAATGAGGTGAATAAAAGGCAGTGCTCTCTTTTACTTGTATTAGTTAGTTGACATGGTACCACAACAGGAATGGAGAAAGAGATGCCAACATGGGACAAAGGTCCTCTTCAAGAACAGCTGGTATGAGTTTTGTACTGAAATGTGTGGTTTCCATCTATTTTATAGCCATGGCTTTGTGCCTTACCTTTTTTATTCTCCATCTATTTCTAGAAATGCTTCTGCAGCCTTTTTAACTTGAGCTGTAGAGATGATCCGATCGGGGATCGGAGCCGATCACGTGATTTTTTTTTATAAAAGATCGGGAATCCTTTTTTTTTCTTTTTATAATTTAATTTTTTTTTCTTTTATTTAATGTTACAAAACAAAAATGACCATGTTCACGTCTTAAAGTCATCCTGAGGCCTTAGTTTTGGTTTAAAATTACACAACATCATGTATGTGTTGCTTCTCTTGGGCTTGTTTTCAGACCTGGTTGCTTATTTCTCTCAAAGCTGGCAACAGAGTGGGCGCAGTATCTAATAGTAGCAGTAAGCCAACGAGAGGCTACGTTCAGCTGGTGACTTCGGGACAGAGAAAATGTCAGGAGTTTGGAAGTATTATAAAATTGAAAGCGAAGGCAGTGTAACAGCCAGATGCAATGTTTGCAAGGCGGAGGTTCCGCGTGGTG